ATGTTTTAGGTGATTTTTGTTTCTCATATTAAATGCTCCCTGATCAAGATACTAAGTAAACTAGGAAGATTTTCTTTCCTTTGATGTACAGGATAGAGGATTAGGGGATATAGCATAAATATATTTTATATTTTATATATTTATGTATTTGAAAAAGGAAATAGCAATATTGGAGGGCAGCCATGCCCCAAGGAAATATTGGGGGGGCAGCCATGAAGTTTGATACAAAGTAAAAAAAAAAAAAAAATCTGAAGCAAAGAGCTTCCAGTTTAGTGCTGATATGTGTGGAGGGGATATTTCACTGTTTCTGTCTGGTGTGTTTTTCTGCTCCCCTGTGCTCACTTCATTTCTTCATCTGTACTCCAGAGACCTCTGCCCAATCTAAGCACATAAGCTTTGGGGAAAGGGGGTGACTATGGTGAACTACAAAGGTGATGCTAAGTTCAAGAGTCACTAGTTCAGATGGGAAATCGAGTCTGAGACATTCTTGTGGAATATGTCTGCGTTTGTCTAGCTAGAAAGTTCCTAGGGTTGGGAATGGGTGGGAGGGAGAGAGGAGATCCTCCTAGATTAAATCTAGAATCTGTGCTGGAGTCTTCTTCCAGCACCAGAGAACATTGGGGAAACTGAGTTGGTGCCTACTTGTCATCCTCGATGCTGCTCAGGTGAAGCCCAAGATGACAGCCAGGAGGAGGTCTCCTGCCAACCGACCTGCAGGACGGACACTCTTCTGGGCTCCAAGACTTCACTAAGGCTTTGTCTGACCCAGAACTGTGAACTATCCTTCCTCCAAATACCCTGACCCCTCAGGAGGGGGAGAGCAAGGGGAAGTAGTGGTGTGGAAGGGAAAATGGCTGCCGGACTAACCATCACCCACATAACAGCTCCAAATGTGCACAGTGACAGAACTGCCCTCTCAGCTCCTTCAGATACATTAAAGAACTTCACTTGGCATTCGTTTTTTTTAATGTTTATTTTTGAGAGAGAGAGAAAGAGAGAACGAGAAAGAGAGCACTAGTGGGGGACGGGGGGAGGCAGAGAGAGAGAGGGAGACATTGGATCTGAAGCAGGCTCTGCACTGACAGAGGAGAGCCCGATGTGCGGCTCGAACTCACAAACTGTGAGATCATGACCCGAGCTGAAGTTGGACACTTAACCGACCGAGCCACCCAAGGGTCCCTGGCATTCTTTGATTAGGTATGCAGTTGTTTACCATTTTGTGAAGATTGAAACTCTAGGATAATTGTTGAATTTTGGTAATTAATGTAGTTAAGGAATATCATTGGACTACTTGGGTTTTTTTTTTTTACTGGCAAACTTAAAACTCTGTCTTTAATAATAAATTGAAGCTTTGAAAAGAAAATAAGGATAGAGAGTGTTCATGGATATTCTTCTCTCAACAAAGGATTTTTTTAAATGTTTTTTTTTCTCATTCTTTTTACATTTCCTCCCCACAATCCTCAGTGCCTCATAGACAGCTAGATCCATTGTAGATGTGAGATAAAAATGGTTTTGAATGATTGAAAAAGGGTTTATTAATCATTGTTTGGAAAGAATCCTGAAGGATATCGGCATAAGCAAAGTGTTCATTTCCTCTTTAGATATTTATGCAGAAAATTCACTCTCAAGTCTTCATTTCAGCTGGTGGTGGGTAATATGGCCACAGGGTCACAGCTTCACAAAGGACAGTGGCCAGACAGGACCTAGTGGTGGTGGTGGAGGGTGCTCCTGACCCCAGGCTACCAATGAAGAGGCCTGGAGAATCTTTCATTGGCTTGAAGCAGGAAAGCTTTGCTAGAAAAGAGAGCTTTGGTGGCCTGGCCAAGGTGAGCTAGGCTGCAGCAACGAATAACCATCCAAACTCAGTGGCTTTATAGGAAGTTTCTTTACCAGTCTTGTCACACTCCGGTACAGGTCCTGAAGCCTGCCTCTGTTTCGTAGGCTCGCCGCCTGGATCCCATGACCCCCGAGGCTACAGCACTGGGCAAGGACACAGCTGGAGGATGGTGTAGGATGTTCTTCAGTGCCAGGATTGAAAGTGGCATGAGTCACTTCAGCCTATACCCTATCCGTCCAGACTCACTTACTTGACCGCAACGCAAAGTGGGCTGGGAAATGTGGTTCGGCTGTGTGCCTACGAAGAATGTGGGGGAGGACACGTAGCATTTGTCTGCCACAGAGAATCAGGGGGAAAGAGTGACAGCAAAGGAGTGGGACGAAAAGAGCACCTGTGGGATGGGAACTAAGTGTACATGCCTGCTTCCCTAGGGGCTTCTGGCCTGGGATGTGCAACCGACACAATCCTTCATTCCACTCGGCTAAATGGAAGGATAGCGACTGAAGTGCAAATTAGTGAGCTGTGGCATCCTGGAATCCATACCTGCGAATTAGATAGGAGACCCTTTTTTGCATAGGTACAGTTAGTGACAAATCGGAACCCGGGGACGTGGCAAGTGTGGGGTGAGCCGCCTGTGGGCACCGAGACCGCATGTTCCCATAGGGCCGGTGCCCGAATTACTTGAGACGCCCAGGCCACCGCTTGGTGCACCTGCTTACTGCGCCAACTGGAGGACAGAGGGGACAGAGGCTAGTGGGAGCCCCCTGGGTCTCACTCTCCTCCAGAATTAGACTCATGGCCTGCAGCGGAAGGACACATCTACCGTTCTGGTCAGTTTCAGAGCAGATCGAGGCCCCTTACACCAAGATTCTAGCAAAGAGACATAATCCTTTGAGACACTTGCCTTTTCATTGTTGGGTGGTTTTCACCACAGCACGGCTATTCCCACGGGGTCTCTACAACCAATGCCGAATACTGCCGGATAAGCTCTGTAGGCAACGCTCTCTGGCGATTTCTAACTTAGGTCGTCTGCTCAGCCTCGGACTCATTCAGCCTTTCCGAATAGGCTGGTGAGTCCCAGCTCTGGGAGAGACACTATAGACGTATCTGTAGATGTACACTTAGAGGTTATCTAAGGGAGAGTGGTAGTGGGGGTGGGAGTGGGGGGTGGGGAGGGATGGTCACGAAGTCTGTAAATCAGAGCATACATTTATTAAATTTACAGTAGCACTTTTAGGAGCAAGAAAGTGTTTCCTGAGGGGGAACTTCATCCCAGAAGCCAGGGCCCCACGCCTGCCCAGTCTTTCTCTCTCTAGTTTCAAGGAGCAGGTACCTGTTTCTCTAAACTGACCAGCATTGCTTTGTCCCTTGCCACTTGGAGGAGGCGGCTTATCTGTTGAACCAGCCATCACCCCTGATCCAGAAACGACTGCCATGTTGAAAGGGGTTGAGAACTGGTATGCCACCAGATCAAACACTGAGCACCCACACAGTGCAGGATCCAAACATCTAAATAGAAGGATGGGGGACAGCAAGGGAGTTAGAAAAACCAGGCCGATGGCTTGGGACTGGCCTTGACGAAGCATTTCTGTAACAACCACACTTTTACCTGTACTGGATCTTGCTGGAAGGGGAGAAGTTGGGGACAACTGAGAGAGAGGTTAAAGCGCCCTGATTTCCGGCCCCCAGAGTCTCTCCCTTGCCTCTTGCTCAGGTTTCCATCAGTAAATGGTCCGGACCATATCCGTTCTAATGGCGAGTCGTGCTTCCCTCGAAGCTGGTGCACCCTGATACTGCCCCGGCGAACCCATCCTCCCTCCACCAGAGTTGGGAGGGGGCAGCCCACCACCAGGCTCTCCCTAAAAACACGGGCAGAGGGAGAGGAGAGGAATCGCCCTAAGATTGTGTAATGTGTGAGCCACCAGCCAGATTGATCCGCCCTGAATGCTTGTGAAGTGACTTGAGAGCAGCTGTTCTGAGGGAGCAGATGGGGCCATGAGAGCAAAAGACCTTTGTGGAAAGCGCACAGAGGTGAGGCGCCCTCCTCCTCCTGTAGCCCGCCCTGTCTGCACTTGTTTAGTCCGGAAGCTTCCTCCTATGGCCGTGAACGTGTCTTGCACGTTCACTGCAGGGGGTACCCGAACGACTTGGGACGGCTCCTCCCAAGTAGCTCCTCCCCATTCCTCTCCCCACCCCCACCCCCACCCCCACCCCCACCCCCACCCCGGCGTGATGAGCGTGGGTATTCTCCGAGCTGATGAGGGCGGCTGCAGACAAGTGGAAAGGAAACCGACCAACAGACCGTGGAACTGTGTTTGCAGCCCCAGAGCCAGCAGGGGGCCCCGCATCCCTGAGAGAATGTGAGGATGCTGGCTGCCACCTGGGGAGGGAGGTCGGACACAGCATAATGAGTGTCACTCTTCGGCGCCTTTGATCCCCATAGAGGGAGCCACAAAAGGAGTCCTGGCCAGATCCCTCTTCTAAGGGTCACAGGCCACTGGAACCACACATTTCATCAGAGAGAGGAAAGGGACACAATGTAAGCGCACTCTTCTGAGGGCCCAGATTGTATGTTGTTTTATTTTTGTGTGTGGCACGATTTGCAGGGACCAGCAGCCCTGCCTCGACTTCCCATCCAGGGACCATTGTTAGTTCGCCTATTAGGTTCTCATTAGATTTTCAGCCGCTGCTCCGACTTTTCTCTTTTTACAGAAGAGAGAACAACTGGGGACTTGTTTCCTGAAGAAAGCGTGGTGTTAGAAGCTTTTCAAACCTCTGAGAAGAGAGAGAGGTCAAATGAGAATGTGGGGGCCTGGCTTTCCAAGATCTCAGGCCAATTACCGCGTGGGGAAGGTCCTTGGGCCTTCCTGCCCCCTCCCAGCTACGGAGGCTTCTGTGTTTAACTGTTGCGTGAAGACTTCCAGCACTGGACTCCACTAGCCTGAGCTAGAATTAACATCCTTTCATTGCCAGACTGACTTGTGGTCTTCTAGAAATTCTCCGGGTGTATTTCCTGAATGAAGGCGTGGGGACAGGCATCTGGAAAGTAAAGGTGTATTCTGATGTCAGCCTATGGGCCACGGATCACCAACAGAGCAAGTTGCTTATCAGGGATATAAGCAGTCATTTGTTTCTTGTAAATTGTTCCAAAAGGGAAAAAGTATTTTTTTTTTTAAGTGAGCACTTTCAGAACCTCTTGTATGGCGGCTAAGTACCCAGCAGCTGTGGCGAGGGGCCTGGTGGTGTATTCTCTGTCATTCTCTGCTTCTTCCTGAGTGCTTTCTTGAGGGCAGCAGGTCAGGGACAGAGGAAGTGTCTGTTTGGACTCACTTGTGGTCTTTGGTCAGCTGCAGGTCAATTTCATGGGTAATTCAGGAAAAAGAAAATGGGCTTGGGTCATGCTTTGTGACAGCCAGGCCCCAAACCGAGATGTAGTGATACCATCACAATCCCAGAATGTAATGTAATTTTCATAAGTGGGAATTAGTGCTTAAAGACACTAAAGTTAGAAACAACAGCCCCAGTGAGTCATTTGCATTAAGTTTACTAAGAAGAGTCATTTTGCATGATTCGTCAGTGGTCCCAGCAAGTATGTCTGTTTAAAGTACTGTGTTTCCCCACCCGCCTTTTTTTTTTTTTTTCCATTTAGAGGTTTGCAAATTTTGACCAACAGGCATGGATAATAAGACTGTGCTTTAAACGAACTTAAAAAAAAAAAAAAAGCATGTGGATACTTTTCATCAATGCTCACTTAGTGCACTATCATTTTAGGAAAGCGATTCCAGCTTTATTTCCTGGTGTCTCTGGCAACAAATGTGTGGATGTATCAGAAATCGTATCTGTTTGTATTAAAACGTAGTCCCCGTGCCTTTTCATTCCTTCCTGATGGAGCAGGCATTTTACACTTTGATGCGTACATAGGGTAACAATTTGTCCCTTCTAGTCAAGAGCTTTAAGCAAGCAGTTCCCATGAAGTAAAACAACCTTCTCAAACCTTCCTTCTGCTCCCCTTACTGAGCCTGTATCCTTAGTACCTCATCTGTAAACATTGCCACGGAGGGCTTGGATGCTTTCATTTGTGCATCTGAAAGGACGGACAAAATTAACCATTTCCAAGTGACCAGAGCAAGTCGACTCCCTTACTTGGCAGATCACAGGAATAGTTGCCTTTCAGTACATTAGATCTGCAGCTACATTGGTCGTCTCCGTGTCTTTAGATTTTGCAAAAGGAAACTGAAATCCAGCAAGTCGTATTAAGAGCCCATTCAAAAAATGAACAAAAAAGCAAATGAAAACAACCCAGAACGAAGTGGTGTATTTTTCACTTTGCGTTTTGTAGGCGTAAGTCCCTTCTTTATCATTTGCAATTTTTTCTGAGAGGTGGTGGATTTTCACTTCAGAGGCAAACAGTATCATGACAAGACAGCCACAGGAGCCTGCAACAGAAGGAGCAAACAATGTGTTGTCACAAATATTTCCCGATTGTAAGGGGCAGGGAAGAGGGTCAGTAACTAAAGAAAGCCTTTACCATCACCCTCGTTGGCATCCTTCTCCAAAAATATAGCATTTCACATTTGTAATCATGAGCCTGATTCTCCAACTGATGGCCAGGGGGCCTGAGTTATGTCCGTGAGCAAAGAAGATTTGGTGGAGGTGGGGAGGGTAGAATCTAGCTGATGTCACGAAGACTGGGAGATGTTCCTCTCTGTGTGGTGAGTGGGCTGAATGGCTGGCTGGGCACCTTCAAAGCACAATGGTGGGATCCAGCTACAAAGCAGCCACTGCTGTGATGTGACTTTAAGAGAACAAATTTCTCTGTACTTCACAGACCGTGCAGAAAAAATTCCAGCCATGCAGCCCCCTTATGAAAGGGCCTAGGGCTTCCTTCAGAAGAGTTCCATGACCTCTCCCTCAGAAGGGCTCCTCTCTCCTCCAGCTCCCACCTGGCCACGGCTGCCCAGAGGAGTCCCTGAGCAAAGGGAGCCATACACAAAGCATTGAAGCGACAGTATCTGTTCTCCTTGTGTCTAACAAAACTCGGGATTTTTACCTGGGTGTGTGTGGCTGCCTTGAATAAAGGCCTCACTGTTTGGTTGAGAGGGACGGGGTGAGGGCAGGAGAGTTTCCTTGAAGTATGCATGTATCAGATGGCTGCCCTGTCTTCTCCCCCTTCCTCCTTCCTGTAGCTGAAATATGGATACAATGGCTGGAGCTCCAGCAGACATTTTGGACCAGGTGGCCTCAGAAATGGAAGCCATGTACTATAGAAAAACAAGAATGGAGGAGTATGGATTTCAGACACCTGGAGCTACCAGGCCAACCCTAGACTTCAAACTCTAGGTTTTTATGTGGAAGAAAAATAAATATCTATTTTGTTTAATCCACTATTATTATTTTTCCCTCATGTACTACTCATTGGTAGCCTAATCTAATCTTAAAGGTGCAGCTGTGGTGTGGGTGATCTCCCTGCAGGACAGGGGCACTCCATACTGAGTGGTGCCTGGAAGTTCTGAGAGGCCCTCTCCCTGAAGATGGAGAATGGGAGACCCCCAGATGGGTGGGTGGCACAGAGGACAGAAGCAGGTGGCAAGTGGATAACAAGGTGCCCAGGCCTTCCACAGCTAGTGTTGCATCCCAGGCCACCTCGGTGGGGGTCGAGTTAATAGGAGACTTGCTGAGATGGTCTCCTAACTTGGGTCAAACCAGTTTGGATTCGGACCCTGATTCCTCCACTTACTCTGTGAAATTAGGCAATTTTAATCTCCAAGTCTCAATTTTCTCATCTCTAAAATGTGAATAATGGAGATGATGCACGATTAGCACTTGTCATTAGAATTGACACACATAAATGCTGACTAATCAGTAGCTATTCCTACGCTTTTTATGTACTCTTTTCATCTTGCAAGTCCTTGCCACAATCCCTTACCCCCCACCCCCACCCCACCACACACCAAAAACCCCTGACTGTTTCGGATAAGCCCCCCAAAAGAATATAGTACAGGCTCTTGTTCCTCCAATTACTCTCCCATTAGGTTTATGACTCCTTTAGAATGGGTAAGTGCTTTTTGCCCTTCAGTTAAAGTTTATTCAGATACCCTGGGAGCAGCAATATACTGGCTTCAGTAACCATTCATTAATTCACTCATTCATTGATTCCACTCGGCGTGCTATGTGCCAAGCTCAGGGATAATGGTGGATATGTAAACGTTAAAGAAAATACATATGGTTTCTGCTCTAACAGAGAATAGAATAGGGTAGGGAACACACATAAGACCATTGTAAACCGATTTCAGTGAGTGTAATAGCAAGGGAAGTACAGGTGGCTATTACTGAGAGGGTGGGCAGCATCATGGAAGGTTCCTTGGAAGTAGCTGTAGGAAAAGTTAGCTGAGCAAAGGGAGGCTGGACCGGTGTGGGGAGTGGTCTGGACGTGAGGAGCTATAATGCAAATGATGGCCCCCATTCCTTTTCCAAAGGTCGGGTTTGCATTGGGATCGAGGTAGAGACAGGATCTTGTGGGAGTAAGAGGTGAAGGGTGGGGTGAGCAGGGAAGGAGCTATCCCATTTCTTTCATTTTAGAATTTTGCATAGGGCTGGTCCATCCGCTTGATCGTCATCGTAATATACCCCCAAATAATCAAATGATGCAGTTCTCTTGAAACTTCACTTCTCGCCAGCCTCAGCGCAGTAGTTGAGAGTATTCCTTTGTAAAATTCGTCAGCCTATTTTTGTATTCGGAACTTAAAACCAGAGCTCTCCCCTGGCAAAATCGTATTATTCCTTTCTTGTTTGATCCAACAAAAAGGCTGCAATGCTGTTTTCTCTTTATCTTTCATTTGAAAATTGTGGAGAAAATGCCATTGCTTTTACCAGAAGAACTTTCTTTGTCTGAGGAGATGGTGAATTTCAGACAGAAGCGAAACACTGTTATTTCCTTCCTGCTTGAAAGGAAAATTCAAGCTAGGTTTCCTTTTCGAGTTGTTAAATATTTTAGAGGTACTACTTTGTTAGGGCGACAGCATCATAGTGAGACTGCATTTCAAATTCCTGAAGTAAAGGTTGCTTGGGGTATCTTAAGACTCGCAGCCTTTCACCATAGCTAGTCATCCAAGCGTGCAAGCTCCCAAAACAGAGCGCATGGTCCAGTAGTTGAGAGGATGGTCTGAGATTCTGTTCTGGATTCTGGAGTTGACCATGGGGTCAACTTTGTCATTTCAGAGTCGGAGCACAATAACCTCGCTTGAATTTTCGCCAACCCTGTGACTGTGAAGAGATGTGAAGGGAAACAACTGACTGTGATGTTAGGGTATCTTTGCTTCTCTCTGTCCATGGCTCTAAAAGAGATGTGGGACCAAGGATAACTACAACCTATGGACCAAAAGATACACATGAAACGTATCTTCTCTTTGTGGCCTGGATGCCAGGCGCACGGGGAGAGGTGTGTAAGGGATGGGGGTGATGGTGGGAATAGGGCTTAGCACTTTTCCAATATGGCCCTTAGTCCCCAGCAAGGGGGCTCCTTGCTCTGGGTCCCACATTTAGAGGGTGCTGCTCTCTCTCTTCTAGAAAGACCCTTCCTCACCCTCCGGTGAGGGTCAATGGGATGAGCCCATCTTGAGTCCCTCACCCACATTCTAGCTCGTGCTCCTGGGACCTGGGACTTCCCTCCCCAAACGGCCCTGAGTGCATTTCCAGGGCTGCATGGGTATCTGTCTTCTTTGGAGCAGTCGCTCTAAGGGCAGACTTTGTGGCTGGTGTTGCACAGCCCTGAGGCCTGAAGATGGCCAAGGAACAGCTACTGTGAGGGTGCAGTCAGAGCTCAGATACACAGTAGAGTGTACACGTGGGGCCCTTTGCAGTGTGGATAGAACCAAGCAAGAGGAGGGAAGTGGACAGACAGGGGCCAGCTCTTCTCTGTCACCGCATTCAGGTCCAGAATTTTAAATGTGAATGTGGCCTTCCAGGTCCTTATGGAGAGATGTTGTCAAGGCAGAAGGATAGAGCATGTCTCATTGAATAGTTTATTAGCTTATGACTTTCAAATGTTCAGACATGTGGTATGTGGACTGTCATTAATAGTCTTGCTCAAGGCCTCACAAATGTTAGGATCAGGCCTGCGTGCTTCCTTCTTCCTTTTCCCAGCTATCCATGTTCCCCAGGAGTCCCAACTCAGCCGGGGCCCTTTGGACAGATGCCTCACGTGTTTGTCTGACCAACACCGCTCCTGCTCATGAGGAAGGTTCGAGTACATTAGATGTAGGAAAGCCTGCCAAGACGTGCTCCAGCTAGAATTTGGGACATAATCAGGCACAGGACCCACGTTTTGCTGTCATGCGTCTTACCCAGAGACCAGCCATTTTCCTTTATGTGTTTGATTGCCCTGCCATCTGGCTGGTACTGTAATATTTATTTCCCCCTTTAATGACTGATTACTGAGTTAATCCCTGACTGAAAAGGATAGCTGAGTTATAGAGCTGTCACACAATGAATTACCAGTCAATTAACAAACATTTGTAATGTGCTAGACATTGCACACTCATGACTGTCCTCTGGCAGCTCTCTGGGACTGCAGAGCTGGACGCCTCTCTCCTCCAGTCCTTACAATACAGGGAGCAAAGGTCACGGCCAACAAGAGAGCTGCCTCTTCGTCCCTGGCTGATCGTGAGGGTGACTATGCCGTGATGGGTGAGAACAGCCTGCCAGGATCTCTGTGAGTCCAGGGTACCGTGGGCTTCAGGGGAAATGTGTCCTCAAAGGTGGAAAAAAAAAAAAAAAAAAAAAGCTCTGATACATTCTCCTATTATCACTAAGATTGTATTGTGGGAAATAATAAATTAGAATTTCAATTCCATTTAAAGTAATGGCCAACATTTCCAGAAAGCTAGCACGTCATCTTTAAGCTCTCTTACAGATGACAAATATTAGAGGCATTCCATTGCCTCTGCAGAATGATAAATTGATAATTTCCTTCTTTAAGGAGTCTTGAAAGATGATAAATGGAGGTGGAAAAGCCACAGCTTTGCAGGTGTAGCTACTAATTTTCTGTGAAATTATGCAATCTCAGTAGAAGGCCAGTTATCAAAGGTGAGGTCTCCAGCAATAATTTCTTCCGCAAATGAAAGCGGTTCTGTCTTCACCCTGCTGTAGAGACCAGTGGCTGCTATCTAGAAAAGGGACAGCAGGACAAGTAAAACAAGTTAATACCTAAGAGTAGATTTTGAGGTCTTGATGGGGAGAAATTTGGTCACATGTTTCCAAAGAGAAGGTGTGGATGAAAGAACACCACCAGTTAGGTTCAGCTTTTTCTCCTCATCTCCTGTACTGGAGAGTTGAAGAACCCACATCTAACTTAAGTTTTACAAATGTCATGTCAGTAGAGCAGTGATTTGTGCAAAGAAGAAATGATCTCAAAACGCGATCTTTTTTCTAATTTGAA